ACAGTGCCCTGGTGATCAGTTCGGGAAGGAGGGAAGGGATCCCAGAGTCCTCAAACCCCAATCCCAGAACCCCAAATCTTGGGTACTTCCCCCACCCAGTAACAGTTTGTAATAGGGGTTTAGGGTTTAGAGCTGTATATACCCATGTTTTATATCTATTATCCAACTGTTACTGAGTGGGGGCAGTATCCAACCTAAATCTCTTCCCGCTTCGCCCTACTAAACACCAGGGAATGCCAGGAGCGTCACATGCTGTTCAGCACCGTGCAGCCCCCATGGGCCAAATGATCTTGGCAGGCACAGAGCCTACATGTTTGGGGCCCAGGAGGTATACCAAGAGTATGGGGGTTCTTCATTACAAAAACACCTCCCACGAAAGCCCTAACCTTCTTTGAGGAGATGGGGACACAAATTAACTCACCAATATTCCCGAGGACTCCTATAAGCATTCACCCTCACCAAGCACCACATATTCAAAGAAAAAGCTCATGTAACACACTGTCATGTGCTGTACGCGTATGAAAGCTTAGGCCAGGACTAATCTTCGCGCGGTTCGCCGTGGCCTTTGTAACATCTTTAGATCGCTGGAGCACCAGTCGGGCTATTGCATATTCCTTATTGGGTTGTACTACAATACGAAACCAAATTCAACCATGACCAGATAATTAACTGGGTCAAAAAGGAGGCTGGCCCGCCCTACCACACCTACCTGTGTCGCTCATGGTCGGTCGGGAGATCACCTGAGGGTAAGCCCCATGAGACCTCTCCACCCTAAACCCCAAACCCCATGAGACCTGTCCATACTCGCAGCGTTCCCCGCCTTTTCGAGCCAAGGCGGATGTGCTCGCTGCTGCTCCTGGTGCAACTTCAACAGACAACGGTGGCCCCTAGCTTACTGGTTGATAATAGGGAGTGAAGGAAAAGATCTTTATCGTAGACCCTACATACTACCCACTCAGGAATATGATAGCTTCCATTCTCATTTCAACTCATTGCTGATTAACAACCACAGGTTAGGAAAACGTCGCATACGTAGGGGTTATGAGGAGATTCTACAGGTCCCTTAAACTCCCGCAAACGTCCCGTTGAACAATGCTACCTGCTACTGTACTTGTTACCAGAATCAAGTCATTGAGCTCAATACAGAGCACGACAATCCCAACTTGTTGTAGCAGCAACCTTCTGACCCCTATGAGCCTCTCTGCAGCCCCATGATCAGAATTCCGACGCCCCGTGAGCTTCCCAAACTCAAGGCTTCCTGGGTTGTACCCCTACGGTCGTACCCCTAAAAGGTTTTTCTAATATGGCCCTCGTGCAGCCACTATATGAGCCAGTGTGGGATCCCAAAACCTAGGGGTGCAACCCTAAGGGTACAAGCCTCAAACCCTTGACAAACCAAATGCAAGAAGGACACCGAAGATCTTGTGGGCGCATAGGATCAGAAAGGAATTGTTGGCGCTGCTTGTGGGTGTATTGCGGGAATCCTGACCCACCCTCAAAGCCCTGAACTCGGTAAACTCTACACCCGAATCTCTAAACCCCTGCACCCGCAAATCCCCAAGCCCTATATATAGGGACACCCCAATGTAGATGCTAAACTAGCAGAACCCTTCTTCTGGGGCTCCGCAAAGGGACCCATTGTCGGAGCAATCCTTGTGCCCAAAAAGGGATCTTGGAGGGCAGCTTCCAGGAAGACTGATCTCAGCGGGAATGAAGAGAAGGGTTTAGGGGCTTAGCTTTTTTGGGTTTAGGCTTGGTTCAGGACTGTTTTTTCGTCCTCTGTACATCATCCTGGCGAAGGAACGGAGTTGGACCATCATGCGGGCTGCAGAACAGTGCCCGGACTGGAGAGAACCACATGCGGAATCCCTCTCCTCAGGGAGGGATATCCCCCAAACAAATTCTTTTAAGGGACCTAGGAAGTAGAGTTGCAAACCCTGGCACCCGGAAAATCCTCACAACCACACGAATAGTAAACTACTAACTACGCCCTTTTAGGATTCAAAACCTTACTAGGAATCTGCAGCATCCAACGCACCCTGGGACTTCCTAGACCCGAACCCCAAAACCAGCAACTGAAACCCCACCCTAAGCCCTGAACCCCAAACCCTAAAACCCCAAGCCCTGAACCCCAATCCCTAAACCCCCAAGCTACTTCCCAAACTCTTAAGAGTATTGGGCTTCCTGCTCGGGTAGTCTCTCCCCAGGCTTTGCCTTTGGTGTCGACCACTTGATGTATCTCGCTCGTGTCGAGGAAGCCACCCTGGTGGTAGGTCCTGCAATTCAACGATAGCCCAGCATTTGGAGTTTGGGTTTAGGGCTGGGGGGTGGAGGATTTGTGGCTTTGGGTTTGGGGCGTCAAGCTGTGTTGGAGGGTTTAAGCGTGTAGGGCACGCGGCGCAAGGAATGGCAAACTAGAAGTGCAAGGAGGCTCTCACCATGCTGGCTTCACTTCAGTTTGCAAAGCTCTGGGGAATTGATGGTGTGGTGAACTCATCCGAGGCAACACACAATTTCTGCTGGTTTCATGGCTACTAGACTCTAGACATGCGCAATCTTCCAACTATGTAAAACCCATCATGTCTCAATGATTCCTTGACTGGGATACCCCCTCCCATGCTGGCGGCATTACTGTCCAGTAAACTTCCAGCACAGCCAAGCAGGGGGCCTCGTGAAGAATTACCCAAACACAAGCAAAGATTTTGGACTGGGTCACCGCCCAAACTCTAAACCCTAAAGGTGTCCCAAGAAGCAGTCAATGCTCTAGCCCCTGACTGGGGCTCTGGGCTCTGAAGCTCTAAATGCTAAATCCAAGCCCTCAAGCCCTTTAAATGTATACATCCGATACACCCTAAGCCCTGTTTTGGGAGTGGAGGCGCACTTCACAGTGTAGAGCATCTTGCCATCCGGTCTGAAGTGGACGTCGGGGCCTAGCATTCAAAGTTGGAAACTATAAGTTTGCTGTTAGCCACTACCTTTAGCAACGCCAGGGGGCACAATTCTTGGAATTCTCAGGCTATTGACGACAAAGGTCACGTAGTGGTGTCACAAGTGTAAGGCTCAGGCAGCGCCGAACAGGCACGCTTTTGCAATGGAAGGGACCCTCAAAGGTCCTGCACGCCAGGTTGCAGTCACAGCACTTCTGACCTCCGCTAGATTCGCTCTCGGAAAACCCTCTCATACCCTGTGAGCAGATATCCAATAAGGTCACTCGCAATCTTCAAGTCCCATGTTACGCTCGTACGGACCCCCAACTACAGAATAAAGCTTCTTGCTGTTGAGACCAAGAACTGCAATTCAGGTGGGAGTTTCTCAACATCACGGCAGGTACGTCCCCAGCATGCCACAGCCCTTATTGGTAAGGACCCCAATTAAAGGTCCAGATTCTTTCTAATTCTGGTGACAAACGACCGCCCGTGCCTGGGCCCTATGAACCAGTCCGGAGTGTCGCCGGAGATGGCAGAGACCTGGACCTCACACGGGGGTTTCACTGGCCTCCGATGAGAGTTATTCAGAAAGGTGACCAAGGACCCTGGAGACATATAGGGGCTATAAGAACATGGTGGGGGGCGAGGATAATAAAAGAAGTAAGACCTGTTCTGGGCATTACATAAGCATCCACTGCTACCTAACAGAAAGCAAATTGCTCCGAAAACGCAGCAGCAACTGATCCCTCGGGTAGTCTCTATGTGAACCCCTGCATCGATCGCTTCCTTCCGTATGGCGTCAAAGCCATTGATATGACTGTAGCAATGGCTTTAACAGACTATCACAGTCTAGCGCCACATTAGAAGTTACAAGCTTTGCAATCACCTTTAGCATGATGACTCTGAGATCTGCATTCTTACAATCATCATCTTACCACTGGCGCGTGCATGATCATTCTTTTTTGCTGGTTGTGCTCCGTTGACGGCTTCTGTCTGAGTCGGCGCTGCAATTTTCAGTCAATGTTATACGTCCTATTCTGATCCTGCCAGCCGCCATTCATTGCATCCCCTGTCCAAGCGAAGGATACATGGAGGTTTCCCAAAATTAGGGGTACCTTTTTGCGGGTCCCTATAATAAGGACTATAGTATTTGGGTGTCTATATTGGGTCCCCTTATTTTCGGAAACTACTACATGTACAAAAAAAGTTCCTCTAAACCCTCAAAGAACATAGATTCAGGCGCCTCCCCAGGGTTGACGCGCCCATCAAAGCCGTAGCCTGGCTTCAGACAGGACTCCTGCACCTGTTGCTACTATAGAACTCTGATCTGAAGCTGCAAGGTAACTCCCAACATCGTTCATGTTCCAGTGATTGATGATTTTAAGTATGTTGCTACAAACATTCTGCTCACCACAGGCCAGGAGCACCGATATGATTCTTGGCCTTGTTTAAAATCCACACGGGTGACCTCGGGCACCATTCCCCCTTCGTACTAAAAAGTCGCCCATGTTCTTTCCATGGACCATGGAAGAGGAAGTGGTGGTGGCCTCAACTGTTACTCCATTCTGTATGGAAAAGAGGCGCACAATCTTCTGAGTGTCTGAGTGCACCGTGACTGAGAAGCAGGCACACCCAGGCGGTCCTAACAAGCAGGGGGGCACAGGTAAAATGCCTGTCAAACTGCAAGTTGCAAATGCTTTGGTGGAGAGAAAGATTCCGAGCTGCTTGGCTTTTCGCTGCTCTGTCCCGGCATTGTCCAGTCCGCTGTCTGTCACTTGGTGGCTTTTTGGTAGTGCAGCCATGAATCTCGTCGAGCCTTCGTGGCGTTTCTTCTCATTGGCGAGTTGCTGGTTCTTGGCTTTGAGAGGGCATCTGCCCTCAGTGCTCTGGACCAGCTGCGCAGCTCTAGACCAAGGGCCCTGCTGCCTGCTCAGCACGCCTCCGCATGGCGTTCATGCCCGTCTCTCCATCTCTGAGGCTTGGGTCACCGAATGGAGAGAAACATATGGCTGAAGCTCGGCTTGTCGTAGAAGTCCATGTACCCCAGCGCAGGCTGCTACGGCTCACTTTGCATCACGAAGCTTGTGACCACCGAATTGCGCAAGCGAGGATCAGAATGAGGCTGGCCAGTACGAGAGCACACATGCTCGATCCATCCTTCAAGGACTCCTCCTTGGCTCCGTGCGGAGCAGCCAACGCACCTGCCATCACTCCCAACTACGCTACAACTACGCCAAGGACTGTGTTTGTAAGAGTACCTGCCTACCTGCTACTCTCATCCCTTTGCCTGCAGGGGAGTCGCGGGCAGTGAGCTGATGCTGCGGCGGCTGCGGCGGCTGCGGCGGCTGCGGCGGCGGCACTGGCTGTTGTGGCTGTGACGGTGGTGATGGTGCCACGGCTTCAGCGGCCCCCGATGATTGCGCCGTTGCCCGTGCGCGGGCAGCGAAAGCTGCTTCGTCGCATCTCAGCAGCGCCAAGGCCTGCAGATGAACTCGGGCCTTCCCGCTGCCCCTCAGCCTAACATGTCCGGCAGTGGCGGCCTCATCATTCAAGCCATGCTCCGTGCGAGGCTCGCTGAGCAAGGATGCTACGCTGACCAGCAACTTCTCCAAACCTCAGGGTCAGCACCAGGCACAGAACCGCTTGTGTGCGAGGATTGCTGTAACAAGCCCTGCGTGAAGTACACAGCTCTTTCTGTATCATGTGGCGTTCAATCTTAAAGATCTGCTCACGCAACAACCCAACTTAGGGCTTCTCATGCAACTTATCTTCTGTGGCACAGATCTCACAAGCTAGATTCCAGAATAGCCCTAGACAAGGAGGTGAGCTGCACTTTCACCTGATTTTTTGTTCTCATTTGCTGTGTGCGCCAAAAAGCATGGATGAAGACACTTTTGTACACGAAGAACCCTGCCTGAGAATCCATAGGACTGCTGCTGCTTCAAGTCCGAATGATGCCATACAATCTGATGCCATCCCTGTTCTGAAGACCACGCAAGAAGGACCGAATAAGAACAACAGATCCGGGATCGAATCCGGGACAGGTCTTAACTCTGCAGCTCGGTCACCTATGGCAGGTGACCAGAGTGTAAGATCGTTCAAGATGTCCAGGCAGATGCCTCCCTTCGCGCTGATGTTCGGATGGAAAAGTCGCCTGCGAATGGCTACATGCCATACCAAAGTAGGAACATCTGCAAAACGATACATCCACATGCCAATGCTTGCACACGCATGCGCATGTGGAATCATGCTCAATCAACCATCAGCAGCTGATGTCTCCTGGGTGATGCAAAGCGCACTTCAGGAGGCTGGAAGGGATAGTCTTCTCCAAACTGCAACCTCAGCTGGGATCCTTTACGGGCCTTGAGTCTGAATAACACTGGGCACTTGGCGTTTGAGCAGACAGTGCATGATTCCCGTCTGGATCTTCAAGCGTGATGCGCCCTGTATGTTTCCCTCTGCGATCTCCGTATGATAGCTACATTCCCTACAACATTCGTACAATGTATATCTCCGCACAAATCCAAAGAAAACCAAGGAACTCAAGGCCAAAGCTCTGCCCTTCGAAGGGGCTGCCAACAGGGCCACGAATCTTAGCGCGGAGACTCCGACAGTCCGCGGCTTCCTGCAAATCATGGGTTGGGGGATGGGGGATTGATAGGGACATGTGGCATGGACCTGTCGCTATTATGTGACTATATGCCTCTTCTAACCTTAGTTTCTGCTCTACTGCTACCGCACTAGCAGGTGCAATGGTTGCCGTCCCTAGTTTGGTTGTTGCTTTTGCTGTGCGGCCAGTACTGACCACTATCCAGCATTGCTGCTTCGTCGCACCGCATCCTGCGGTGTAATCAATAGCTCGCCGTTTCCAAGCGTTGTCTGCCCCTATTAATTACTGCTAAAGCAAGAGACAACTCAGCCAGCAAGCTGCCCACACCCTCTTTCAAAAACCCTGCCTGAAGGGACAAGATGGGCAGTTCAAGCCCAGCATCACGAAGCTTGGAGCCTTGAAGCTCGCACTCCCGAGGTTTGTTGGTGCTTCCAGGAGGAGTGGAGGGGCAAATGGTTTCCAGAATAGGGCGTACTATGTGATTGGGATGCAACCTCTCTTGCAACAGGTACGCAATGCTGCGCTCGGGACTTGTCTGTTGCGAATACTCACGAGATCAAGGATATTGTCCACAACTGTCGGCCCCTGAACATTTCACTCATGGTCTGACTGAAACCTCAAAAAACGACAGTTGAGGCCAGTTGCACTCCCGGCGAACACGCTCAGCCACTTTGGACATGGCAAGGTATGCACCCCGCTGGGATGAGCTGCGGCTTGAAATCTTCACAGACATGAGCGGAGCGCCGCAGAATAGCGGTCGCAAGGAATCCCTACATCATCCCAAGAAGATGTTAGTAGGCCCCATCCATAACTTATACTTTACTTGAAAGGTACTCTGCAAATGCTACTACGCATGGACAGAACACCTGGGAGCCAAAGCGCTGCAGCAAGTCTTTCCCCAACATGCGTGCATGAATACGCTCGGTACCGGTACCTTCCAAAGCCATGATTATTGATTCGCTTGATGCATAAAATGTTTCTCGTCACATTTGTCTAGCTACTGATCGTTGTTACTCGGTTCCTGAAGTTCTTGCACACGAGGTAGAGGCCGGCCTTCGGCCCCTTGTTTGCGAAGGATGGCGCAGACCTGCACGGCGCTGGAAAGCAGCTTATGAGGTTGCAATTGACGAGTCGCACAGGTGAGGATGATGAGCTGCAGCAGCAGAGGCAGCAGCAGCCGACCTGGCAGCTACCTTAACGAAAGCAGATCTGATAGGAGTAAGAATGATAACAGTACGACCACGTCATTCCCACCAGTCTCATGCAGATGCCTGGAAGATCGCATGAGGCTTCCTCACCTTTGCCACCAGGATGTCTCTGGCGGTGGCTGGAGTTATCTGGGTATGGACCAATCTTACAATCCGTACAACTTATGCATATCTTGAGCCCACAAACTAAGGATCCTGCTTTTGGGGGGAACTCCATTTGTGGTACATACCCATCTGCCGCCGCACTTGGCGACTACGCTGCCAAACGGCTTGAGAAATCAAGCGGCGAGCGGGGCATGTTTCAAATGAGGTGAGATAGTCACTCTCCATACAGGCTACGCTTACAAACCCTAGTGAGATTTACCATGTTGATCCTTAGCCTGAACTGCATGTGTATGTAACTTTTCACAAGAGACGTCAGGGGTCATTCAAAAGGTGTGTGTGCCGGAACAGACTTGTGAAAGACCCACATGCGTTACTGTACTCAACTGCGAGTCCTTATAATACGGATGAAAATATATTGGGGGTCCATATTGGGGTCCCCAAACTACCATTTAGCGATTTGAACAAGAAATTCCGTCGAGCTATGAATGTATCGCGATTTCATGCGATTTCAATTATGAAATCTATTATACGATTATTAATGCATCGATGTATTTAACGAGCTAATTCTTATTCAATTTATAAACTGCAATCGATGATGTTCATTGTTCATTCTAATAAGCGATTCTTTTTTTTGATTCTCTATTTTTTCAGTCGTGAGAACTAACAATATGATAGTCAGATAAAGACTGAGTCGCAGACAGACCACTAAACTAAGAGACTATTACAACCTCCGAAATACCATTCCTCAAGAGAGTATTCCAGCCCCTAAATATCACACAAAGAATCGACTCTGAGCCGTCAATTGTCTTTTAATTTCATTTACTCGAACTAACGATGATACTCTATGACGACTTATAGGAACTGAATCTTGAACTAAAAATTGCCTTTGTATTTCCGAAATATGCAATATGGATATACTTTATTACAGGGAACTAAAGAGAAATACAAAAATCATCCATTCTAACTTTTTCAAAATATTCCGAACATTAAAAAGAATAGAAGCCATTACCAAGACCTCCCCGCGCGTAAGAATTTATCCAGCCAAAGAAATCGAAAAATCTTTGAGGAAATGTATATAGAGATATGAGAAGTCGCCGACCGTAATCAAAAATACCACCCACAACAATAGCCGAACCGCCGCACACATAGAGAGACGCGCGATAAAAAATCTCCGCTTCGAAACCGCCCTCAAACCAAAATCCAAACCTTTAAGATACCGGAACATTTCGCAAAAACCTTTTAAAGCCAGAAAATTACAAGACAAATCCTACCATGCTTTTCAGAAATGAAATACAGGCTTCATCAAGACCCATAAGATTTCAACTACAATAAATTAAAGCTACACATAGTATTCATCAATGTAAATTAATGGTACACACATTATTCATTATATCCGCTTATCTAATTATCACATCATCAAATATAGGATTAGAGTTTATAAATCGCCAGACCAAAGAACACGTAAATCCGTTATTAAAATATATAATGAAATCGAATTAAATATTTGACGATATCTATAATATTTTCATTTTCGTATGATAAAATCAATGAAGAGATACGAGATATATAACATCCAATATTCGAATTTTCAAAAAATAAAAGGAGACCCATCGTGGACGGCAAAGGGCGGGCAATCGCGGAGAATAGATAGGCAAACAATCGACAGATAACCAAACGAGCCAAAAAATAGATGGTGACGTGCATATGCAAGAAGCCAGCTAGAAGGTAGTACACATCAAAAGAATGTATATAATTCCTATAATCCCTGTAGTTTCCATGTTCTTTTCCATTATCCTTACACTGCCCTAGAATATGGGACCAAAGCGCTGCCAAATGCCTACGTGCACCCGTATGCGTTGCCTCTCTCTATTCCAAGAGCTCTTAGTCTATAAAACGTTGCCTCGCTTCACTTGTCCTGCAGGTTGTCCAATCCATTTGCCCCACATTCCTTCTCTGAAGTAATGCGGTTTCTTGATACCCAGTGAGTCACCATTAGTCCAGGGAAATCCCCAGACGAGAAACGTCCACTCAGACATCTTGTCTCAATCGAACGTGAGTGAGCTAAAGTGCAACTAAAGCTGCTGCTGAAGCCAAGACGAGCTTCGAATTCATCTGCTACCCTGAATGCTTCTAGACCCCGTTAGGGCGCAGAAACTCCAGTCATCCGGAACATTCTGAACGGCCCTCGGTCACAGTGCCGATTTCCACTTCTTCTTGATTTCTACTCGCGCTGGCGTGGTTTAAGGTTGTTACAGCCATTCTTTAGTTCAAGATGTGCCTTCACAAGGATGTATAGGAGGCAGTCGCATGACAGTAGCTGAACTTTTCCCAGCCCCTCAGCTTATTTTTTTCACAACTAGACCCTCTCCCTCACAGTCCCGCTGCCCCCCCCCATTTCATGCATGAAGCCATTTTCGGCACAGGGCAGACAACAAGCATCTCAATTCTTCAGCTCCGCAGCCTTGGTATACTAGGGGCCTCTTTAGCCAGAATAGGGTTTTTGGTGTAACTCGGACCGAAATCGTGCTCAAGAATGTGAAGCAGAGTCAGTCATCTAAGGACCATGGGGGAATATCATTGGCAATCGGTCAGGTTTCTGTGTCAAATTGGTGAGGGATGTGCAGGGCCTTAGGTTTATAGTCCCCCTTAAGTAGATAGAATATGGTTTTGGGGTATACTATAAAAAGATCCCCATATACCCCATATTCTATCTACTTAAGGGGGACTATAGGATTGGTGGAGGAGGTTTCAGGGTGGGGCTCGTTGTTGAAGATTCAGTGTCCATTTTCGGATCTTCACTCTCCCCATGCGTGGCCAATACCTGCAATGCAAGGAGTCTTCCTAGTGGCAAGAATCAAAACCAGAAATGAGATTATAACCCCTATAATATAGCCTATATAACCCCCCATATACCCCCAATATAACCCCTAATTCCATGATAAAGTAGTCTCCATATTCTTTTCCATTATCCCTCTATAACCTCTAAATAATGATGGCGCCGAGCAACTTCGGGTTCAGTGTTTAGCGACGGATGGCAATAGCAATCGAAATGGTGATGTGATAATTCTGAAGATTCCAAGACCCATGGCAACCGTCAAATGAGCCAGAGTCTAAACTCCTAGTATCCCCCTTTAATAGCTCCTATAGTACCCCCCTATGTAGACATGGGCACACCTTTGCCTGAGGGACAAGACCAGGGGAGAACAAGACGTGATGGTTGCCTGCTGCCAAGGATCGCGAACCATGCCGTGCCAGCGAAAAAGACGGAGGCCTTGGCAAAGGGGTGAGGAAAGAACCCTCCGGGCATTGTATTGGGATGTTCGAGTTGTCACCGTCCGGCTGCTGCTTTGTACTTCAATGTCCTAGGTGCCCTACGTGTGGTTACATAGGGCCTCTTTCCACTACACAAGCCCTTAAGGCCGTGTTTGGGATCCTTTGGGCTTGTTACTACAAGGCTGGTAGTGTTTAGGGTTTATGGGCGCGGCGTCTGCTGAACAAAGGCCATAGTAGTCTCATGACAACAGCCTGGAGACGGCCGGAAATCCCAACCCCATCTCTCCTCAGAAGTTCAGTTAGGCAAGTGTCAACAACAGGTTCCCCTCATTCATGTGTTGCCCATCCTTATTTCTGGGTATCCTCTGTTTTAAAGAACCCTGAATGTCTGAAATCTCACATGCAACATGCTGGACTAGGCAGCGGACACAGCAGAAGAGCGCCGCCTTCGGCCAGGACTACCCATGACTTGGACACGGTCGGACAGGTTATACCGTATACCGTATACCGTATACCTGTAACCGCAACTACCTACATTTCTCTGGGTTATACCTACTAAGTAAGGTGTGATTACTACCAAGTTGTAGGTATTTGGGGATACAGGGCAAGGTTTAGAGCTTAGAGTCGCAGTGCTCGCTATCACAACTCCTGCCAGATCGGCAGACAAAAAGCTCACAATTGCTACGGCACACAACGAAGAGCACTTGGCAGCACCACCAAAAAAAGCGTCACGTACAGGACCATGTTGTGGGCCATATCATGCTCCACGCCCTCTGAATCTACAAGCTTCTTAAATCTATTTCGAGGTATAAAGTCTATAAGTATGTACAAATAATCCCAACTTGGAAGGATTCCTGCCTCTGGCCCAAGGCTATCGTCCAACGTCCCCAACAAGAAGGGAGCGATAAGGTAGCTGAGATCACCTTGGAACGTGAAATCCTGTAAAGTGGACGGAGGACCCCCGCGAGCCGCGTACACCCATCACACAATCTGGCTTCATTTTCGAGGGGCAGGCTTGGTGTAGGAAAGCTAATGAGAACACCAAAACAAGACTGATGGACGCATCAAAAACTGATAAACCAGTCAGCGCCATAGCATCAGCAAGTTGAAAGACTTACGGTCAGCATCAATTTGAAGATGCCAATCTGATATGGACGCTAGGTTTTTCACATGGGTTAGTCTCAAAACCATGGGCCCTTTTGGTTCTAAACTATGTTGCTGCACCTAATTTGTAGTGCTACCAAAATGGACCAGACTTCGGGGAAGCATTCACATGACTTCAAGCTTCCAAACCCTGCAAAACCCCACGCCGACTTTCGGACGCTTGCTGTGCGAAAAGCCGGGCTTCCGGGCCGACGGTCTTCGGAACGCTCAGGGCAGCCCCTCGCTGGTCCTCATTGTGAAGAATGACGTTCAGCAACGGGGGGGGGGGTGTGGATGCGGGAGGCAACGAACGACATGTCGTTGTCACGCTTTATTAAACGAAGAAGTGTGTTATAATCCGGGCACATGGTGACAGTGATGACTCTGGTAGTGCGATCGAATCAGGAATCAGAATGAAAGCGCCGCAGCAAGGACAGTAAGCACAACTAAAAGCAGTGATGCGAACCCAAAACGAACAATGAGCATCATAATGCAAAAGCCTTAGCAGTAACCATGCAGCAACCATGTACATACCAGTGAAGACAATGTAATGCTTACAGTAGGAATGCTAGCAATATTTCTCGCACTTCCCGGCTGGCACTGTTCTCGGACCGTGCAATCTTGTGACTATCCAGCCAAAGCTCAACAGTAATTGCCCAGTTTTGGGGCTTGTCCTCCTGAAAGCCGAACCTTCCCCAACTCCTCAAGAAGAGTCTAAACTTTGAACAATCATTCATCAAACCTGAACCCTGAATCTCATCCCAGTCCTCAGGGGATGCAGCTATTGCATATGCCTGCAGCGCTGGAGACTTCACTGCAGCCGCCAGTGCCCAAACAGCCAAGCAGGCAAAGAACGTATCCTGTGGCCACTTTTGTTTTGGGTTCTGGTTCCAAGGCTAGAACATGACATCTTGCTCAAGTGCTGCGTGCGCGTTTGGCTTATTTGAGGCTTCTGTCTTTTGCACAACGGAGCTCGGCAGGCAAAATATAGTAGGGGCAGCGATAACATCAAATGAGAACAGCAAGAACAACAATGCCGACCACGATAATTAGTGGTGGCCACTTTTCAAGTTGTCCTTGGAATGAGCCCCCGTTGCCAGGGCTGCACCCACGTAGGCCAACGTGCAGATGGAACCTTCGCTCTCAGACATGCCATGTCTGAAGCAGTATCCGCAAGCCTGAGGCATTGCCCGCGACCAAGGAACAGGGACACAACATAATGGTTATATAGTATATAGGAAAATGGAGCCGATAATGGTAATCAATGAAGGGGCGGATATTGTAAGGGTTTGGGGCCATTATTTCAATGCTTCTGAGACCCCTGCCGCAAGATAGGAGGACACTTCGCGGCCCCACGGCATCCGTGAGACGACCACCCGCCAAGGTACCTCTGGTCGAATCGCTTAATTCAATTCCTGTTTTGCCGAATTCGGGATGCCCACCCTTAAGCCACTCAAAACCCTCAGCCCCAAATGGTGCTAGTAGCCCTCGGCACTCCATAAAGACCTGTGTAAACTTTAGCGCGAAACCAGGCAGGTCCCTGGAGGTTCTTCCGCTTTTTTGGGCTCCTGAAATAGTAACAACAGTAATAACAATTCCTATAACAAGAATAACAATAATAACAACCCCTAGAATGAAAACAATAATACTTAAAAATAGTACCAATAGTTCCTATAATGATAACAAAATTAAAAACACATCCTATAATGATAACAATAATAATCACAAATAACAGTACTAATAATTCTCCATGAAAAAACTCTAGCTGTCAAAGTCTTTTGTCGCCCAGCAGACCTGCAATCGCCAAGGCTGCAAGCCCTGAGAAGATCCTTGGTTCCCTTAGGGTTTAGGGGTTTAGGGGTCTAGGATTTAGGGGCTAAAGGGATTTAGGATTTAGGGTTTAGGGTTCAGGGTTTTATGGTGTAGGGGTTTTGGGTTTAGGATTTAGGGTTTTAGGAGTTAGGGTCTAGGAGTGAATATAGGTGGTGCATATGGGGATTGAGGGATTACGATGGGGATCCAGGTTGACCAGAGACTTCCAATGCGAGGGGAAAATACAACAACAACGGAAAACTTGGGGACCTAACCCTTGGCTCCGCTTGGGAAGACATGGGGAGGATTAGGGTTTGAAGGGGTCCCTCCTGCGGCCTTCAGAAGTTTTGAACAGCTTTGTGCTTTGAGGGGCTATGGGGTCTAGAACGCTTTGGCAGGCCAACCCAGAAGAAAATTTGACCTCAGGAAATCCGATGTTCTGGCCGACTTCGGCAGGAGCGGCCCCGAAGACTTCCGAGGCCACAATGGGGAGCAGTGAGATCTTGCAGGCCTCAGTGAGTGTTCATGGTGCAGGAGTGGGGACGGTCCCCTTTTCTGCGTTTCTTCAAGGCTTGTTCTGGGATTAACGAGGGCTGGTCTTCAATAGCATGCACAGGGCACTGCTCACATTTGACAAGCACTAATGCTGCACTGCCATAGTAAGGGTTCCTGCAAGTGACAAGGACAGTAGAGAAAGCTTCTGCTACCTCATGCAAAGGGTCAGTGCCGGCGTAGAAGGCCACTGAAATCCCGGCCAAAGCTTGCTGCTCCGGCGCCTGTAGCAGCTCCTCCCAGGCACCACAACGAAATCTCCAGTTGTTTATTCTGCGGGATTCTTGCCGAGTTCTGGGCGCTAGCAGTCGCAAGATGAAAGCCTCTGAACATTGGTTGAGCTGCTGTCCTGAAAGGATTTCTCTTCTGCACTTTCGCCAGAGACCGTGCGTAGCTCAGGAAGCAGCGCATAGCCACCGGCACAGGCGGCAGCGCCTTGCATGCAGAAAGCTTAAAGTGGTAATGTGTAGTTGAGGGCTCAGGGTTGTACATGTAGCCATTAGCAAGGGGAACGGAAAAAAGGCGGCAGGTGCGGTCATAGAGAAACATACTGGCAAGAGAAACATGTGGCCATAATGGTGGCAAGATGTGTCTAGTGGTAGAATCGGGAGAGAAAATTGATGACAGAAAATGCTACTGCGACCCCAACACTCCTAGCCCCCAATCTCCACAACTCTAAACTTCAAAAGACCTGCAGCCACGGCGAAGAAGATGGATCGCAGGCCAAACTCCTGAACCAGGTAGCCACCCACCTGGGACAGAAGATCTGGTTCCTCATCAGGATATGTCCAAAAGTCGTAGTATTGCGTCATTGTGCCCCTATGCGGCTGCAGCAAAAGAAACTTATGTGCAACAATGACCCAGAGGTATGACCCAGAGGTACTCACAATAAGCGCTACTCCAACTCCGAACTTAATTTTAATCAATTTTTTAGGGTGGGTAGAACTAATACAAAGACAGAGTACTACTGGCCGTCAAGACACTGTCGGTCCAAGCACAAAGGCAAGGGCAGTGATGGCATTTTGAACCTCAGGCTACGGCAGAATCATGGGGCTGTTCGCGGGTCTCACAACAGATGCTGGATGAATTTACAATAGCCCGAATGCAGAACCCCACCTCAACAAACACAAAGTCTGAATAAAGCTTCGGGCAAAGCGCGCCTAGAAATGACGCTCGGGATTCCGGCTTGCTTTCCTAAGCTGCGCAGATGGACACAGAAGCGGGGCTTTCAATAATGACGGATCAGAGAACAAGACACCATCGCGTCTATTATATATATATATATATAAATATATAGATATGGCCAGGAGCCCCCCCAACACCCTACAAGCCCTAAGAAGCAAACTAGAAAACATAGCATCCTTGTCGAGCCCTATGAAGGAAGACGCACCAAAACCACTACAAGCATCCTACGAAACCCCGACTCTCATACACCAAGAGCCAAAAAAAACGTCATGTACACACGTTCCACCAACATCGCGCAATACACCCGCAGCATCCGCCAATTGCCCCAAGCACTCGTAGCATGAAGACCACCTCCACTCCCTAGCCCTTGCGCTCTCCCAAAGCCTGCTGATGCACGCTTATTCGTGCTTCTAGGTCCCGACCCTAAAGCCCAATCCTTGAAGCAAAATCCAACCCACAACCCCCAATCCCCGATCCCTAAACCCGAATCCGTACACTTCCATAGACCCTAGCCCACATTATCCCAAATCCCAAGTTCCTCATCCATATTTGACCCTCATTTCTTTGCTTCACGGCTCCGTGGCATCTGCCACCCAAGCGGAGGCACCGGCATCCGAACTCGAGAGGCCGGTGCCCAGCAAAAGGCGGGCCAGGATCAACCATGGCAAGGAGGAAGCCTTGTTTGGGATGTTTAGGGATCAAGGAATAGTAATAGTAAGCTTTAGCAATTAGGGCTTAGGGATTGGAGAGGAAGAGTCCTGGAAATAGGCGGATTTGCGTTTGCAAGCCTGGAGTTTAGGGAGTATGCACAAAGTGCGTAGCTAAATCGCCCCATCTGAGTGCAAGGCAATCCCTGTACCGACATCTGCGGCAGCACAGAGCAGCATGCCTGGGGGGGAGTTGAGCGCGCCGTGGCTTGGTTGGAATCTGGGGAAAGGTGTCTAGAACAGGAAGAGAAGATTGGGATGAATTGAGGATGAAGACTCTTAATTCTACAGCTACCACAGCAAGGGAGATTCGGGGGTGGATTATAGGATGAAAGCCTCTCAATTGTTATTCGTGCTACTTTGTTACAGCCCGACAGTTCCTCCAACCATCAGGGAGCGCCGACCGATGGAGTCTGCCAGCTTTCCAAACGGCAGGTTCAGCAGCAGCTTTGCCAGACTTGGGGAAGACACCAGCAGCCTTAAAGTAGCCAAAATGTGTTTCTCAATAATCTGGCTCGTCACAACCTAGTCCTAGATTCTTCGTGCCTTTCGGAAACCCGTGGAAAAGTAAAGGCTCCCTGTCAGGGGCTTGTATGTCTAGTCGTTTCAAAGTAAAGGCTCTGGGTTGACAGTCAGAGGTTGCCAAAATCACTAATCGCAAAGGGGGGAACTTTGTGAAAGGACAGGCACTGAACGCAGTCTGTGACGAGAGGCCCAACAGAACTCTGCGAAAGGCCGAATTCCTGGCCATACCTTGGCAAGAGGGGTTCAAAGACCCTAAACCCTAAATCTGAACCACTAGTGCCAGGCTTGGAACGGGAGCGCTTTTGTAACTATCAAGCCGATATATGCCCGTAGAGCCTAGGTCGTACTGCTGTGACTTCATGGGCGCTGCCTGCATATGTGAGGAAAACAGTCCTCACTTGCTTGATATTATGTCACTGCGGTCGTGAATATCGGTACAATGCTGATGGCTACAGAAGATAGTTACCGCGTTTTGAAAGCCCCCCAAACGTTCATGGCTGTCAGAAGCTCCAAGGCTATGTTGCGTCCAGTAGCAAGGGCAAGACTGGAATCAAAGCGCCAACTGCCACGAAAACTGGAAACTGCGAGACCAGTAGAAGACTCAGCTCACCTTCCCGCGATGCCTGTGCAGGGTTTCGATTGTGTGTTTGAAAAGGCAGCTTAGGCCATTCTGGAAACATGTCGCATGGAGTGTTCAGGGTTCAGAAATTGGGGCTTTAAATTCAGGGCTGAGGTGGCTCGGGTCTGGCCGTTTCGGATTAAGAGTGAAGGTCATTTCCTTCTGAAACTCTCTCGTACATCCTCCTCAATGCTTCCCTAGTGACTACCTACATGTTTGTCTGTTTGTGACGATGCCTCTTTGCAGGTTCCTAAGTTCCGAACAATACCACAAGTACCCTTGTTGGGAGCTCCAGTGCCACAACCAGGCCCTGCACCTGGCACCCTAAACTCACTCAGCATGCCCTCTCCAAATCAAGCAAGACACAACCATCCACAAATTCTCTTCCTGAATATCCTCCCTGAAAATGCTACTCAATCGGATGCGGCAGGTGGCTTCTTTCACTTGGGGCCCTGGGCAGCGCCGTGACGGTAGCTCTGCCCGGCCTGCAAGCGAACTTCTGGGTCAGGGTTTCGGGGGTAGGGATGCTCGTGTATTTAGTAGTAGTCGTAGCAGCAATAGTATCAGCGGGATTCTAATCGCCGTCAGAGGAAGAGGAGGGTATGTTCATATGTTCATTACGCTGCCGTGCTTGTTACTTGCACCCTCTTTATCCACAATCTGTGCATGGTGCAGCTCGGGGTGTAACATCTAAGTTCTCAGCAACCTAAACCTTGAACCCCAAATCCTAAACGAGTGTTCAAGACCGGGCCTTTGAAGCGTGCATCTGAACCGATGAAAGCAATTTGCGGACGACTTTGCAACTCCGCTCTCCGGGGCCATCTGGCGCAGGCAAGTATCACAGCAAGGACCGCCACCTGATGGCTTAAGGGGCGGGAGTTTAGGGTTTACATGGTGGTGGTTCGCAGGGAAGGGAGGAATGGACGAGAGATTGAGAACTACTGAAACTACTGACTGGGGAATTTACTTGCATAATGAGGAAGACGATCTTTCTACTGACCACCGATCACTTTAGCATTGCAGATGCAGGAGTTGGGGTCAGTTCAGAGGTTTGGATTCAGGATCGGGGGCTAAGGTTTTTGCGTCAGGTGTTTGTTGGTTTTAAATAGAGTGCGGCTCAGGTTCTGAAGTTTGCAATCATCGCCAGATAGATAGAATTAGAAACCGACAAGCCCAAACGGCTTTGACGTAATCTCCATTTTTGTCGGTCTCACGAGGACCTTACTCTGCAGGTCCAAGCCTCAGGACGAACACCCACGACGTAGGGAAATGGCAATCGTGATGAGGATACGTAGCTACAGTGGAAAACCCTCTTCAGGACATGGGAATAACTTGCCACCTGCGGCGCAGACAATGACCTCTTAGTGCTCTGGCACTAGATCGGGAATATTGATCATCGCTGGGAGGGGAAAGCTTTGTAGTGGTAGTTTCCCAAAATACGGGGAAACAAATCTAGATTCTAATATACTATAATCTTTATTGTGGGGGCCTCAATAAGGTACCCCTGATTTAGGGAACCCCCACTTTAGTGTGAAGGGAAAGTTCGAGCTGAAAGTGCTGCTCAGGGTGCGTGTTGTGGCAGTCTGCGACCCCACCGCGAGGAAGTGACCCGCGGAGCCATTGCCATGCATTTCCAGTGCCCTTGCTACATCCCAGCCTTGGCGTTTGGTGTTCTTGACGTCCATGAACTGCACATCAAGGCACTGCATTGATTCAAACTTGCTCTGTGCATCCGTAGGCCTCCGTTTTATCATAATTTCAGTCTTTCCTACGTGTTGCTTACTGGGCGTTCGGGGGCCGGAGTACTTGCAGTGATGTTGATTCTACCAACCAAGTCCCCTCGACCCATCAAATGACGGGACATTCGGAAGCTGTCTGCAGCACAAGCCAAGCCATCATGGGTCACAGCTTCCTAAAACTGGAGAATACATACGTAGATGGAGTAGCTTCCAAAAACAGCTACTACTCACATCATGTTGTTGACTGTAGCCTTGTAAAGCTGGAGAACCCACGTGCTGATGGAGCCAACTCCAAAACATAATACCACTGAGAATCGGCCCATACGAGACATGATTAATCCAATCAGCATTTGAAATGCAGCTGAAGATGCTTGCCGGCGACTGTCGTATTGAAGACGAATCGAACAGACATCATTTAAAGTTAGACGCAACGTTGCTCGCCATCTTGTTTGATATCCGACCTTGCTCTTCTCACGCGGATCCTCACCAAGCATATGCTTGAAGGCAAGGCTTCAAATGGTGAAACTAGTCTTGCCTCAGCATCGGACCTTTCCTGAAATAACGCTAGGAAGCATCAGCTCAAACAGTCAAGGGCAGCCAACTCGGAGCCTGCTTGGAGACTTGAGGGAACTTAAACCTTGCCATCTCAACAACACCTGCCCAGGTATGCCCTCTACTAAGTTAGGGGTTATATTGGGGGCAATATTGGGGTTATATAGTAGTTATATTGGGATAATGGAAAAGAAAATGGAAACTACTTTAACTAAATCCCTCCAACACTCCAGGCGAGTCTGTGTCTGGGTTTCAAAAGCTAGCTTTGAGGCTGCACCCTTCCTGGAGCTGTGCGGTTCAAAACCTTTTTGCACAACCTGCCAATAGGCACGGGGTGAAACCACAGACACCAATGTGGAGAGTGAATCTAGACCCGGTTGCTGGCTTCAAGTTTTTGAATTGATATTCTCCAGATGCTAGGTGTGATTCTTCACTCCACTGTTGAGAGCCTGGAAAATCAAAGCGGCGGTGGCGCTCACAAAAAAACTTCTGCTAAGCTAGTGGTCTCGGTTCGACCTCACAGGCAGGTGAAAAACACATACAGCCCTGGTTACCTGCTAAAATAAATCAGGTCTGCCAGGGAAGGAGGGTTACGAGGGATGGGGGGCATGCGGAGCACAAGAAATGTATTTTGGGCTTCCAGAATGTTAGACTCTGTTTGGCACAAGTAAGCAGCTGTGTCGTCGGAGCTGAATGGTTTTCCTGTGAGCACAATTCCAGCCAGTCCTGGGCAATAGATTTGCTTGAGGTGCCTTACAATGCTGAACAACTGGAATGTTTGACTGTGCCAAGTGCAGAAGAAAGGTAAAGAAATTTGGTTTATCAAGAGCCAAATCTCAATAATTCTAGGGAGCCTTTTTTGGGGGGATGGTAATTGCCACATTCAAATGCCTGTCCCTTGAAACCCCATTCAAGAACAATTTTCATTTCATTTTATATGCTTTCCGTTTGTCCATTGTTGGAGTACAATGGGAGTATACTACTTATCCTCAACCTTCAAATAGCTTTCTCCCTAGGGCGCCCTATAAACCCTAAACCCTAAGCCCTAAATCCCTAAGCCTTAAACCCTGCACCCGAAAACCCCTATACCGCGACACCCTAATCTAAGCCCTAATCCCCAGATCAACCCTGATCCCCAAAACGTCAAATCATATTTCTCTCATCCTTGTGGCTCCGACACATAGGGCAACGATCCAACCGCTCTGCACAGTCCTTCCGGGATTCAAAGATGGTTAGGGTGCAGGGTTCAGGGTTTAGGGTTTATGGCTTAGGGTTCCGGGTTTAGGGCTCAGGGTTTGTGTAAGGTTTCTGGCTCCGGGTTGCTAGTTTAATTTTCAGGGTTCGAGAGCTGAGGGTCTCACAAATAGAGCCAAAAACAAAGCATACATATAGATAGGGATATACTCTTTAAAGCCCTTGTAACTAACCCCAAGAAGGTCGGGATAAAAAAGCTTAAAGGAATTTAGGAATCAGGTCTGGGCATTTGGCGTTGGGACTGGAGGTCAAGGGGAAGGGGGGCAATCGAAGATACTGCTCACACACAGTAGGGAGGGCTCTGCTGTTGTGAGTCCCTGGCGGGGGGAGATTCTTTACATGAACAACCCTGTTCTCTCAGGGTATGAATGGAAGACCCTGATTTCATTCAAGCTGCAGGAGCTCGTGCTATACATATGTGTGTATGTGTACATAGAAAAATACGTACTGTATATGCGCATATACATATACACTTGTGGTTCGCTCAGGGGGCTCCCTTTGGAATGAGGAAGTGGAGGAGTGGAGGAGGAGGAGGATTCGGAAGGTTATGATGCATGTTGGGTTCGCGTCGATATCTTGACATTGCTTTTAATATACCGTAATATACCACAATATACTATAGTATACTATATTACTTATAAAATATAATATACCATAATATACAATGATATACTATGTCTACTACTGCTATGGCGACCTGACTGCTGATTCTACAAGCCAACACCACTGCCCGCGGTCTAAACTTCTAAGACCTTATACAGAAGTTTCCCTCAGTATATGCTAATCCCTGTATAGAAACGCTCTAGACCCCCCCTTTTAGGGTAGGTGATTATACACCCCTTTTGGCCTCCAAGCCCAAATCTACTGGGTAGATTCCCCCGCCTTGCAGCAGCAGACGTGGCGGCAGGGCATGAGTAGGATCTTGCGAGGTGCCTGGAGCCATTGAGCAAGGTCCTTCCTCGAACCCAAAACCCTACTACAACGAAGTTGGGGAGTGAATATAGGTACAATTACAGGCTTATAGCGCCAATTGCTATAGGGGTGTATATCGAGATTCTTATAGGATCCACTCGACACTGTAAAAGGTTTACAGAACTGCCCGGCCTCCAGGCATACCACGCAGGCAAGAGCCTCGGGCCTCAAAGGAAACACGCCAATATCTCCAAAATCTCTCTTGGCAGAAGCATGGTCCTTACCATGTTTTCTGCTTTATTTGGCCCCCTGTATATGCCGTATACCGACGGAACAAGGGAATGATTGTCAAAAGAATCTGAAAACGGACCCATAATATGGGAAAAAACACAAATCGAGCAGTTGGAATAAGGATTTGCGCAATCTACTCCAACCCCTTACTTCCCCTAAACCCTAAAACCTGAACCCTACCACTCTACACCCTAATACTCAAACCCTAAACCCTAAAGCCTGAACCCTAACACCCTGAACAATCCCCTAAACCCTAAACCCCTACTCCAAAGCCTAGACTGTTCTTTGTTGCCTTCAGCTCCTGGCTTGCTTGCCTTCTGCGAGGATGCTGATGCTTCCTTGCCTTCCGTGATCTCCGAAACGGTCGGGTTGGTGACTCTTACTGCTACTTAGGTCAGTAATGGTGACTATAAAGGATAATAGTGATTATGTTAGTTACTGGGCCCTCTTATAGTCCTATTATGCCACTGTTACAGGGTGGTGGGGCCACCTGAACTATTGCTGATCTCCTAGTTACTGCAGTTGTGGAAACAGGACTGCCTGATACCGGCCGCAGTAGGAAGAAGGCCGCTGCGGCCGTGGCAAAGGAGAATGCCTCGGCCAAACCCAAAACAACCCCAGCACGTTGCAGCAAGAATGGCAAGAAAGGGAAAAACAATGGTGATCATGATGATGTGCTAGCTGCAGCAGCATCGGAAAATGAGTAGCAGTGGGAAGGGCGAAAGGCATTAGCAAGATAAGGACCCTGATGGCAATAGCAACAGTAGCAGTAGCACAAATACTGTGGCATATAATATTGAGAATACCCACTCACTCATGTCCGGCCACTATGCCTGCCGTCACCAAGAAGTGAGCCTCAACCAAAACCCCAAGCCCCAAGCAGCTTCTGAACCCAACATGGATCTGCGGGGTAATACAGGGAATATGGGGATAATGGAAAATAAATGGAAACTACTAGAATATACTGGGGTAGTATAGGAAATAATGGGGATTTCTGCGCCTATGCACTCCTAAGCAGAATCAGAAATCCAAACAAGGCTGTGGCCAAGGGGAGCCACGGCGGGACTGTGGTCGACACCAAAGGTATGGGCCTCAGCACATGTTTCTTGCTCCATTGTGGGGGAATCCCGAAATCGGTCCCGAAGGACACCACTAGGCCACGAAACAACACCAAGAAGAAACAGATGTCTTGAAGGAGTGTAGTAACCTGGCCCGGAACGCCACACTCAAATCCGAAGCCCTGAAGCCCGAAACCTACGCGCTGAATCCTAAACTCTAATCTCCCAACATCCGCAGCACCCTAAAACCCAAATCCCCAGCCCCAAATCCAAAAGCCCAAAGCCCTATATACCACCCCGTAAATCCCAAAGCATAGATCCTAAATCCCGAACCCTGAACCCTACATCCAAAATCCAACTAAACCCTGCCCCGAACTTGTCAGATTCTAGGGTATACTTCAGGGGCCTAAATAATTACCAATATCATTTTGAGGTCCCTTTCAGGTAAATGCGGACAGATGTCATTGGCGTTTGATGTGAAACAGAGAGTGTATTACACTCAGGTCAGACAACTAGTTACAGGGCAATGCATGGCAGAAAGTGAATGGCGTTTTATTGGAGTTTGTCCAGGATGGTCTGGATTTGCATCAAGATTTTATCAAATTTCTGGATCCATTCCTTAGACAAAGCATCGGATAAAGATCCAGGGTTTGGGCAATTACGTGTGATTTTGTTGGGCTCAGCAGAAAAGCGCATCAATTTATGGCAGCAGAAACAAATTTCGTTGCCGCTCCAGCTGGGCTGGACAACATGAGATTTCAATTTCGTCTCAGACATCTGAAGCCTGAGAAAAGTAGCAAGAGCGTCTTTAAATTTAGAGAATCTGTTGAGGGCAGCTTTGAAGCGGCCCTTGGCGCCAGGTGCTCTGGGAATTTTCGAACGGATTTCTTCTGCGGAAAGGCTAATCCAAGTATTTAGAGGTATCTGTGTGATACAAGAAATGCGGTCAATTTCATGCTGAGGATTGAGTCTCAAGTCGAGAATCAAATTAACCCAGGGTGGCGGCGGCCTCTTATGCGCGAATGTGGGAATAGGCCAAGATCCGTCAAGGGGATCCTTCCGCAAGAAGCACTTAGCCTGTGGGATGGCGTCGACAAAATCAGCCGTTGCAATGCGAATAGCGGTGGCATTGCAATGGTGATTAATGCGTATGGCCATGTTGCGTTGATGTAAGTTTTGGGCTGCTCTCGTCAGGTCCCAGCAGTGTGCAAAATAAATGTCATGAAGGAAGCTAAGCTCAAGTGGGAAGAAAGGCAACCATTTACTAGGTAATGGTGGGTCATTTAAACTAAAGCGTTGATTTTGTTGAAGTGCTAAATTAAGCAAATGTGCAGACAGCGCTTTAAATTTATATGCCGCCATACCAACATTTTGGCATTTGGTCAAGAACGGGGCAAGTTTACCACCAACTTGCACAAAGATGGCAAGGGCTTGCGACCACGTCTTTATTGCTACAGCCTGCGGCGACTGGACAGAGGTGGCTCTGGTCCAAAAGGAAAAAATCAAGGCATAGTCTTCTAACGTTGCAGCCCATTTGTTGAGATCCGTGCGTGTAATAGGCGGCTTCCACATAAGCGGCAGCAATTGTGCATGTTTGGTAAACGCTCTTTGCTTAAGGGAAGCATCCGCGTCACAGGGGAGGGCAGGAAGATCGGGTCTAGGTATGTCAAGTGTTTGCTGCGGCAATGGATCGTACAACTCAGGGTTACGACAAATTTCCATCCATTGAAATAGCAATTTAGCGGCAAGTTTCTGGAAATTTTTCCGTTGCATAACAGTAGGCCAGTTGTCTCTCAGATTTTGGAACCTAGGACAGTGCCAGAGTATGTGCTGGAAGTCAGCTCTCTCATGAAAACAGAATTTGCAGTGAGGAGTGGGGAAAATACCCATTTTATTCAGTTTATGGGGCGTAGCATGTGCATCTGCAAGCATGCGTATCATGGGTACTCTCAAGGGCGAGTCAGGCTGCAGGTTCCTGACTAACGCAGTTGTGGTGTCAAGATCAAGTTTGGTAATCCCTTTCCATTTAACATGTTTTTGCTCTAATTGTTCGGCAAGTTTTTGTCGCAGAAGCATCCTGAGAAAGAGCTCAAATTTGCCTTTGTCCATAGACCATAATTACATAAGGAATATGGAACCATAATATTGGTAACTACTTATGTAACTCCAATATAACCCAAATATACTATAGTAGTTTCAGGCTTAATTTCCATTATCCCTACGTATAATATTGGTAAGTATTTAGTCCTCTATAGTATAACTGATCTCAGGCCATCGCAGCTCCTGCTCCAGGGTGTCGAGGTCGGGGGCTCAGGCGGAAACCAAATAAGGTTTGGAGTGCAAGTGGTTTAGGGGCTTAGGGCTTTAGGTTGTAGGGATGTAGGGTTTAGGGGTTCAGGGGTATGGGGGACTTGAGGTTTAGGATTTCGGGCGGGGGATCTGGGGTTTAGGGTTTAGGATTTGGGGTTTCGGGTTTTGGGCTTGAGGGTTCAGGGCTTGCTGGGGTTTAGACCATTCAGGAGTTAGGGACAGTTCGGGTTTAGGGGCTATTCCCCCCCATGTTTGAGAGCATCTCCTCTTACGCTGATAGTCGACGATGCCTAACATGCACTCGAATTGCCATACGCATAGGAACAATGGAGGCATTGGTGGGGACAATCTCTCTGCAACCCTCGCCAAAATAACCCTAAGCCATGAAGAACCCTAACCCCTACAGCTGAACCCCTAGTCCCCCTTAAGTAGATGGAATATGGCTTTGGGTTTTTTTTCATAAGACCCCCATATACCCCATATGCTCTCTACTCAAGGCGGACTATAAATGAGTAGTATAAACCCTACCTTTCCTACATCCCGGAGGCCTGTGGTGGGATTCTCTCTCGGCGGCTCCATCCGCCAGTGCAAAGAGCGTGGGAGGACGGACAACAGCGACCTCAAAAGCATTTGCAGGGTGGATTCAGGCAATGAATGTGTACATATAATGGTACATACAACAGATCTATGTGGTTTCTTGAAGGTCTAGGAGGGTCATTCAGGTCCCCGAAAACTTGCTCCCCTCCCCTAACATTGAAACCCAAACCCCCCAAGTTGACATATTCCCATTGTAACCCTTAGCCTTTAACCTGCCTTCACACCTAGACCCTCACCCCAAACCCCTAAACCCCAAAACCACACCCCCAAACCTCTAAGCCCTAAACCCCAACCTATACCCTGAACCTGAAGGGACCCTCCAAAAGCCCTGAAAATGGTGCATGGGATCCCCGGCCCTGCAGCCCGGGCCAAGCACTCCTTGCCCCCCACCTCAGTAGGGTTTAGAGCATTTGGGCTTTAGGGCTTTAGGATCTGGACATTTATGGCAACGTATGGTTCGAAGGTTTGGGATTCAGGGCTTGGGGACTTCTGTTTTATGATTCAATGTTGTATAGTTCTGGGCTTTATGGATTTCAAACAGCTCAGGGCGTCAGACTGGCAGTGCAGCGTAAGAAGAACATCATGTGGAGCTCTTAATTTGTAGGAGCTACCTATAGCCCGTAAACCCTAAGCCCCAAACCCCAAGCTCTAAACCCCAAACTCATCTAAACCTCATTTGACTGTGTGGTTGTTTAGTTTGAGCCGGCCTCCGGGCCCAGCCACCATTCGGACTCCTGTGCGCGGAAGTAGAGATAGACCTCAGCTTGATTTTAAACAGGACCTTTTCTCCAGGGTCCTAGACCTCAGGGGGTTTAGGGCTCAGGGTTTCGGGCTTAAGTTTAAGGCTCAGGGTTCAGGATCAAGATGGAGATGAAGACCTACAACATGTGTGGAGTTGAGGATGCCGAAGTCAGGATGAGAGGCGAGGTGCGGGGAAGGCCTCAAGAACTCAAGAGCTTGTCGGGTACAGGGCGCAAACTCCAGGGTCCAAGAATCAGATCCATCCATTTTGCATCCCGCATCCCCGTGAGGAACTTAGGCCAGCTATGGCGATATTTCTGTCTTGGGATCCTTCACAGTCCTGAGGTGCCTTCCCATCAAAAAAACAATGAACTTGGGGATATATTGGGGTTATGTTGAGTTATATTGGGGTTATGTTGGGGTTGATATTATATTGAGGTTATATTGGGGACATATTGGGATAATGGAAATGAACATGGAAACTACTATCAGAAATGGCACCACTTCGCAAACGAGCGACCTTCATGGCGTTGCGCGAGCGGTTTGCCGTGCTGCTGTTGTCGCCCTCCTGGACAGGGTTTTTGGGGGGGGGTGGACGACATTCTGGTGCGTAGGAGGGAACGGGGGAATGGATCCTTATAGTAGTCCCTATATATTCTGTAATAATAATCCCAATATAATCTGTAATAATAATCCATATAAACCCTAAGCCCTAAACCCATGAGAGTCTGCGACCCCCTTCAAGCCTTCAATCCGGTGGCAACGTACACGGGGCGAGCGTCGCAAAGACGCGACTCCTGCACCTTGGACCCAAGCCCAACAAAAAGAGATATGTATATAACCCCTATATAACCCATTATAGTAGTTTCCATGTTCTTTTCCATTATCCCCAATATAACCCTAATATCTACCTTATAATCCCTATATAACCCCAATATGTCCAGATCATGCAAGGCAGAGACGTCCCATGAGAAATTGCCCACTCAGGATGCCACAAACTCAGTCCCGCTGATGCTAATGCTGGTCGGAATTGCCTGAGGCCACGCATAGCTGCCACTTAGAGTTCGAGGCTTGATACTGAGAGCTAGACGGTTGCCGCATCCACCACATGAACCTCCTGGTTGCACAGGTTGCATCAGCAAAGCCTACTAAGCGGCTGAATGTCGAAACGCTGCGGAGTGGCTGTTCATAAGCTGTCCTCTACAACACCAGCAAAGGAAAACCATCTCGCATCACCATCCAGAGGCGATTCTGCAGTAGCATAAGCCTGAGGATGGTGGCAGCAATCTTGAAAAGCATTCACGGCTTTGATATGTCCCAGCAAGGCGCCGACCCAAACCCTTCCATCTTCGATGGACGGTCCAATTCGCCAATCGCCAGCTGCATACCAAAGCCTTGCCGAACGCCGTACGGGTGCTGAACACCATATGAAAGGTCACCAGTCACTAAACCGAAAGGTTGCGCGATAAAGCGACTTATTGTTGCAAAAATCTCATTAGAAGGGTTCTATCGTTTCTGGACCTTTAGAGATCATACCTCTGACCCTCCACACATTTGTCAGGCCCCAGCGAAGCAGTACGAATGGCATCGGTCTTGTGATACCTCAGTAAGCAGTATGGCTCATGTTCTCTGATCCTAACGTGTGCCACCACAGAGTCCCGGTATGCTCCATCCCTGGATGTATCAGTGATTCGGCAAGTCAATGCTAACACCCACGAAAGCACGCAAGAATCAGATCCCTGTAAACAAGTTATCGTCCTCTTAGCCTCTGAAAGTAGCCTTGGGTACCTACTTGGGTGAATCCACCTAAGAGGTCGGGTGGGGTGGACCGATCCTAAGGTCTAGACACAGGCTTCAAGCTCCAGCCGTCAGCAAGTCTGTACCTCTCAAACGAGGACTGGCGGGTTGGATGGGGCTGACATGGGTCCTGGCTCATTCGCGCAGGGCCCAAATTACAACACCCACCCAACACTGAAAATCTCGCACAGTTACTTCCATCGTCAGGATAACTTAGGATCGAGCCCCTTTACCTCCAGAGAGACTGCACCCCAAACCCAAAAAATCGGATTGGTGTATAGACGTGCATAAAACCCTAAACCCCAAAAACATCGCATTGGTGTATAGGGGCAGCGCACACTCCGTTGGCGGATCCTTCGCCAGCCTTGACGCCTTCAACGACGAGGTGCCTGAGGCTAATGTCCGCGATTAGAATTTCAGGACTTTCGGGAGTTAAGATTTTGGGTTTTCGAGTTTTGGGTTTGAGGATCTAGTGGGGAGACTTACACGGACTACCTACCCATGCAATCCTTACAATCGTCCTTGCTTCCATTATGAAAATAATCATCGTTAGCAGAAATCTCTGAAAGGGTTAGATAAGACAAAAAGAAAAGAACATCCTGTTCCAAGGTGACTTAAGCAATAAGGCAGTGCTATTGTCACCCCTGCTTGTGCCTGAGCTTAAGCGACCATCTCCGTGTGTCTTGCTATCATCAAACAAGAATCATTTGCTGCCAATTCTTAGCGCGCCCTCTTCAATTTCCCCTGCTAATTACAGTTGCCAAGTGCGCGGGGCTGAGTGGAGCTGGTACTATTCTCAAATTGCTATGACAGGAATATCCTATCAACACCAGGTTCCCTGTGTGCGTATGTAGGTATGTATTATAGTTATGTACCGTCCAAACATTCACGTCTTATTCTGGGAGCGCAAAAACCCGCCTTGGGTGTCGCAAAGTTTGCGGGGGCCCGAAATCCATCGGCGCAAGCCTCTCCGCGAAACTGATGAAGTAAATTTGACAATTCCAATAGCAGTGGTTCCTTTGGGGATGTGCAACACAACACGACCTCCATAAAGGAAAATATTCCACTTTTGGGTGGTTTGGAGGGCTTTGGGCACTTAGCTTTGCACGGGCTTCAGGGTCCTTTGGAATTTAGGGTATGGCTTTTGTTGCCGGTTTCGGGTTCAGGGTGCTGGGCACCGCGTGCAAGATTTCAAGTGGGCTTGTATTGGATTTGTGAGAATGATGGCTGGCGTGAAGATTTCTACCTACAGGGTTGGATGTACTCCGCCCTGACCCTACTTGAAAAACTAGATCCATACGCCATAACCACAACTACTATTTCCATGGGATGTTGCAAATTCTTGTCCACTTGATTTTCCATTATCCCAGAGCTTTCAGAGCTCCCGGAGTCCTGTGGAAGCTCTGCGTCATCTCAGCCTGCCTTGGGTTGACAGGCTGAAAAATCTGCCGCGACAAGCGCTGTGGCACAGTTTCCCTTGCGAACTCGAGGATATGCACACCCCACCCGTGGCTATCCCTTCGTGCGATGCTGTGGGCAACATGGAAGAAGATGGAGAGTGCAAATCCACGTGCTCGTTATTTGCCCTACAGAACATCACGACTTCAAGCCTTTGCACGCCTGGCATATCTACAAGACCTGACCCAGTCAAGGGTGCAAGGACGAAAAACGGAGTAATTCTCCTTAAGACTGGTCCCAAATCCCTGTCATTCCGCAAAAATCTTTTAAACCTGCATGATCTTACCAACGAGTCCTCACCCGGCGTGTCTCTGGAGACAGGAATACCCTAGAAGCTGCTGCACATATGGGGCTGCAAGGGGACTCTCTCTCTCTGTCTCTCCCTCCCTCTCTCCACACATACACACACACATATATATATATATATGAACATGTATGATTTGGTTACATTTCAGGGGGCAGGCTTCATAAATTTGAATTGTGCAGCTAATCCCGGCCTCACCGAAGCGCCAGGGAGTTGATCTCCACCTGTGGCTGTAACACAACGTACAAAAACTGAAGAACAGAATTCGTAATGGAATCATGAATCCACCCACTCCCAATGATATGTTACATGCATAGTCTGTCTATCTCCATCTACCTGTATGTCTATTTGTAGATCAAGGGATTACAAAGATCCTGGCCTCCTGGACCCAGGCTGGGCACCATCCATGGCTCCACCTCGGCTTGAGGGCTTTTCTGGGTGGCAAGGGTTTTGACGGGAAGGGGTTGAAGGTCTGTGGCATAATGGGAATTTGGGGTTTGGGATTGAAGGCGACCTTTGCTAGATAAATAACTGCTAGTGACATCAGCAATCAGTGCTAGTGAAGATGAAGCTTGTGTCGAAACGAACCTGAACCAAGTGGCTGTGGCTAATCCAGCAACGCCAGTGAAAAACTGCCTGAATTGTCATCACCATGCGTGGGAGATTGTTTCTGTCGCTGATCCTCCTAGGGTCCTCCCTGCTAGGCGCAAATCATGTTGCTACTCCCATGTCCGCCCCCTTTGCCTGGAGCCTTGACTACAATAGAAAACTACATTCTAAACGATTCCCAACAACGTACTTTCCCCTACACCTCAAACCGAACCAAGCATTCGCAACCTTAAACCCTGAATCCCAAGACTGAGCAGGAGGGAGTGGACCTAGGCCTCGGGCAATCTCCTGGGGAAGCGCGGCAGCACCTGGGCTGAAGATGGTTTCTGCACACTTCCGCGAGGAAGCTGTGCTTCCAGCACTCTGGACCCACTGTTTGCAATAAATTGACTGCGAGCCATCTTGTGTGTGCTTTCCGAGGTCATGATGAGGTTGGGTCCACCCGCCGCTCGAGACCAAACCAGTGACCCGCAAGAATGAGACTGGCACTGGACTCCCACATTTTCACCAAATGCACAGCCCTCAGACCTCACTACAATCCTTAGAAGAAGGATTCGAATAGATCCAGAATCCTAAACCATAATCCCTCAACCCTAAGCCCGAAACTGCAAATCTTCAAGTCCAGGTCATTGGATGATGATGCATGTCAAAGCTACGGTCCTAGGCGCCAGGCTGCGTGAGAATAGCGCAGGCCTTGCGCAAAGAGTTTTCACGTTTAGGTTTTAGGGTCCTGGATTTTGGCTTTCGGGGGTCTCGGTTGACCATGATGCAAGAGAAATAGTACATACGGCAATTGCTCCGTACTAGGAGTTGCCTTGCCAGCTGTGGGGATCTTCCATGAAACCAGCACTGTATTGGAAGGCACACAGACATTCAATTCCAGTGAACATGTCGACTAATTGTGTTTTTCTTTTTATTACCTCGATGCTAAATGAATTTAATCCGCAGCCCTAGCGAACCAAATCCTAGACACCGAACCCCAAACCTTATATTTCAAAGGCTGAATACGTGCTCTCGAATACCACCCCTCAAAAGCCTTATATACCCCTCATAATATCAGCCCCTTCTAAACTCCTACCCTAAACCCTAAACCCAGAGCACTTGCCTGGGAGCTGTAGTTCCGAGGGGCAGTGGCCCTAACCTCCAACCCTCGGCCATGGAACACAACAGAAAGATCTCCTGCACGGGTTCAGGGGGGTAGGGTTAAGGGGTTTTAGAGGCTTAGGTTTGGTTTTTTTTGTCGGACCTTTTCTCCGCCTGAAGAATCCAAGCGGCGATGCTTTAAAGCACGGCCCAAAAGCTCAAGTTTGTTCTGTAAATTCGCTCACTGCCAATACTCAGAGGCGCAACAAGAAGGGAAGCAATTGTTCGGAGGGTAACAGAAGAGCCCAGGGACCTTCAGTATGGCGCAACCAAAGGTAGGAAACTTCCAGGCTCAACATCTTCATTGGTACACAGACAGGACTACACAAGCCGGTGCTTCAAGTCCGTTTGTTTAGGACCAACGTTACTTTCCAGTGCAGGAGAAGAGACCGGGAGCACTCCAGTGGCCATTTCTTGGGATGACAACAGACCTTCAGCAGCAGGAGGACCTTCAGTTTCTTCACCATCAGGTAGTTGTTGAGGTCCATTGTTGGCATTCTCGTCGAGATGATCCCTATGACCACCAAGACCACTAGCATTTGCAGGGACATCACCAGCGGCGATAGCGAAAGCTAGTTCTCTGGCGTTTTCTTCCACGGTGATGTGACTGGCAAAGGCGTCCGCAGCCTCATTTTCTGCCTTCGTTGTATTACGGCTTCCCTGACTATCTGCTTGACTGTCGACCTGGATGATTTCTTCTTTCTGGACAGTGTAGCTAGGCCAGGTTGTGGGCGCCGATAAGGAGCCAGTGGTGTCGTCCGACATCTTCTTGCCATAGCCAGCATCATCACTAACGTCCTTGCAAACCTCTTTTCGCTTGGCCTCCTCCTCTAACACCACTTGCAGCATTTTCTGCTCTTCAGTTTCTTCAACCCTTCGACTGAAGAACTTAGCGGCTTAGGGGGTTTAGGGATTTGGGTTTAGGGTTCAGGGTTCGGGAGGTTTAAAGGCTTGGGATTTTGGCTGGTTTTGGTTTTGGGTTTAGGGGTCTCAGGGCGGTCTAATGGTGGAGGGGTTTCAGGATTTGAGGTTTAGGCGTTTCGAAGTTGGATTTGAGGTTTAGGGGTTTGGGTTTAGGGTTTTGAGCTTGAGGTTGGTTTCACGGTTTGGGGACATCAGGGCTCAAGGGGTTTGGGGATTTAGGGCTCGGGGTCTTGAAGTCATGGCGGCTGTGGGGTGGCCCCTACGCTGAGTTGTACCAATCTTCCGCATACATTTTGCAGAAGTGCCAAACCCTTCTTACTCAAGATCAACGTGCAGCTCTCTGCCGTTCTCGTGCGGTCTAGCGGAGCACAATGCGGGAACCATGCATGCGTATCAGCAAGGTGCAAGGTGATGATACCACTAAACCCTACATGATAACTTCAATCCTAAACACTAAATCCTAAACCCTGAATTCTAACCCTAAATCGTAAACCCTAAATCCTAAACAATAAACCCAGTGGCAATAATGACAGAGTAACAAGGCCAAATCGACAAAGACAATATTTGACCGGCCTGCTGAGTGTGCTTGTAGTAGGGTCTGCCATCCCACCTCGGCGCGGACACCTACAAGATACTATGCTATACTATTTTTATACTATGATAAACTCTATTCTGGAATTATTATGCTATATTATGCTGTGATACACTATGATGATACTACATTATAGCAGTATCATTCTACATCAACCTACTCGTTGTGTTGGCAACGATCTGCTACGGAATACATCTGCTACTTATTATGACCAGTAACCTCGGTACCATTCTTCTTCATCATGCCTACCTTACTGGTACTTAGTAGGGAATAAGGGGATATAGTCCCTATATACTACAAGAACCCTAAACCCTACACCCCTAAGCCCTAAACCCTTGCTAAGCCCCAGAAAGTTGCAGTCCACGTTTAAGTTTCCGACAGGCCAGGCTGCTGCATCAGCATGCCCTGCAGTGGCGCGAGCTCCTGACTTGAATGTTGTCATAGAAAGTCTCGTCTTACTGGGGAGGTGATCGGGAATATGCGAACATAGTATATAGGGATTATATAGTAGGGATTGTGTTCCCCTTGTTCCCTGCTTAGCAACAGTAAGTTTGTTGCTGCCATTGCAAAGGCATCTGCTCTAGGTGTGGTTGCTGGTACATGTCCTACTACTGCGATTACTTCATGCTCTATCAGGAAAAATGTTTCATCAACTCCCATCACCTAAAGATATGACATGGCCCTAACAATTCGACTAATCTATTCAAGCTTGGCCAGCCCTCACATGATATCATGCGCCGCGCTCTCCCGCTGAGTTTCCAACCAGAGGGCTTCCCTCGCCGAAAGATAGCAAAAGAACCTGCGCAACATGCGTTCGCCGTCACAAAGCCCTGTTACGGCTGCTGTATAGCCATGGCGACTCCTATCCACTTCTTCTGCTGCTCCAACAGCTACTACCAAGAGCCGCAATCAGAACTTTGATAATCTTGATGCGAGCACAGGGCCTGGGGAACCAGGGAGGTGTCGCTAACTTGAAGATGTGGATCTTGAACAACGCGATGACCATCCCACACCTTCGCAGCTCTGTTGTTCCAAAGTCATTAGGGTTGGGTCTGTTGTCCAAATTCAATATGGTTTAGGGTTAATTCAACAATTCAATAGGCTCAAACGGGTTTTGCTCGAATAACTAGCTCGAATTGAATACGGCCTAGGGTTAAGAGCTTATTCGGGAGGCAACACCCGGAGCAAGCAACCGCCCTGATGACACTGCTGAGAACGAAGACGGCAAGATAAGTAACATCATTGGAGACCAAAACGTGACTATTCTGACCCGGAACTACCGCCCCAAACAACGTGAGCAGCTACTGTCTCGTTAAAAGGTACCAAAACGGGGGTTTCCAAAAATGGGGGCATCCCTTTTTGACAGTCCGGGTGATACGGACTATAATGACGATAATCAATTTATTGGTCAATGTTGGGGTTCCAATTCATGGAACCCGAATCTGACAGCGATTCCAGGTTTGGGGGGAGGAGGGGCGCCTGCCACGGCTGGTCAATGAGCAAAGGCGAGGAGGAAGAGCTGCGGGCGAACGCCCAAACCTTTCTCAGCGACAGCATGATGATGAATATTACTTTTGCCACTATGGCTACTAGTAGCTAGTACTACTAGTAACATTGCTACTATTGCTAGCATTTTTGTATTGCTATGGTCACACTTATTTCTGTTAAATCTCTGCACTTGGCACGGCTCCTCAAAAGCAGCTTCTGAAAATCATGGTTCCCAGACCGGTGCCCTAATACGATTAGGTCGTTATTGGTCTGAATCCTGATGTTCAGAAATGCCCCGACGATTTCTCCACATTCAATCGTGCAATTCTTAACCGTAACATCCTCGGGAAAGGAAAGCCAAGGTAGCCACAGAAGTGCTGCTGTCTCAAGAATTCTTCCTCTTGATATGCTTTCTGGGCAGACCCCTTTTCTAGATCACGATGCTCCTGCACGCGGGGCTTGGGGGCAGACGCTACCATCCTCCGGTGATGGGCCCATGCGCCACTCTCCTGTTCAGTGTTGCGCTTTGAGGGATTAGGGGTGGTCTATTAAACTTGTAGGGAAATAGCATGTATTATTTTCTCTAAAGTCCAATCTTATCCTACGGCAAACACTGGTCAGGCTGCTCAGGTCTCGGGATCATAGCTGGCTTTCTCAGCATCCTTCTAGGACTGGAGACCCTCAGGATGTATACCCAGACCCCCAAAAGGATCTAAAGATTTGATCCCCTAGAACTATATGGGAAACTTTCTGGGGATTTTATAGGGTTTAGAATGGGTCTACTTAGGGGATCTAAGTTTTAGATCCTCCCAGGAGTCTGGGTAGGAACTCTAAGGAGATCATGGCAGGGCCAGGTCTGAGTTTGACTGACAGTGACCACGACTTGTCCTTGCAACTCTGCTGGAAAAAATGTGGCCACTGGCATCACAAGCTGTTCAGTCTGAAGTCACTCGGAGGAAGTTAATTCAGAAGTGTACAGCAAGTTCGGTTTGTCGCAGCGCTCAGCAAGTCTTCCCATGCCCATACTTGAAACCCTACGCCTCAAGCGCTAAGTCGTAAACCCAAACTCAACACACTAAACCTTAAACAGAAAGCCTACATGCCTTAACCTCAGAGCCTACACCGTAAAGCGTACAAACCCTACACCTTCAGCCGCAGACCTTTAAACCCTACAAATCCCAGCTCAAACCTAGAACCCTGAACTCTCCCCAAAATCCTCACAAACTGCCAGTCTTTCAAACAAGTCAAGGCACCCTCGAAGTAGAGGAAAACCTGCCCCACGCTGCCGGGATGACCGGCACGTCTCCAGCAGAGACCTCCAAGCACGCAATGGGAGGTCAAGAGTTAGCTAGGTGGTAAGTAAACTGTAGGATAACACCTGGCTATAACTGGGGCTTCACCTACCTAGCTTTACAAAAACGGGCCTTGCCCTGGACCCTAAACCTTTTAACTTGGGGTCTCAAGTTGCAGCTTGAGGGTCCAAGATTTAGGCATGGTCATTGTTGCTAGGCTGGAAGCCACTCAGGTGCCAACCGTGGCGCCATGCGTAGTCCCGTATGTACACACCTGGGCAGATTTCCCTCCTGCAGTATGGCTATCTTAGAAAAAAAATGTTACTTTGAGCCTGGACATATTATTGGAGCTCTCCGGATTGGACTTCCGAAGACTTTGCTGAAAGCGCTGGAACCTCTATACTCTTGCTCCGAAGATCTACAGTACTCAACCAGGGAATAATACTATAATACACCATGATGTACTCTAGTATACCATAATATACTACAAGTAGCAGCCCAGATTGAGGATCAGTTGAGGCCCAGGCCGTTGATGTTGCTATTGCGCCCCCGCCCTTGGCCGCCAACAGTGACAGCATGGTCCAAAAACTACTAGACCAACAGCGTTTGCTTGCATGACGTTGTCTTAACAGTCTTGCAAGACACGTTGGTATAGTAGCCCTTCTGGAAGCGGCTGCAATATCATGCTGTGTGACTGGCGATGATCGCAATGACAGAAGCAAGGATGCCTTTTGATTGAGGGCTCTACGACCGTGCACAACCAAAGAAGAGGGCAAGTCGTTCGCCTGCGGCCGGAGGATGGAACACAAGTGAGCTATAGTTGAAGCTCCTAGCATCCCCCTGAATAACTCCTAAAATTGTCCCCTATATAATCCCCTATATGACCCCCATTTAAGGAGTGCATGTAGACTACAGTGCAAGTAACTAAGTAACATCTACCTCAAACAAGTTCAAGACAGTGGCGAGCATTACGGCCAACCAGATCATTAGGTTGCAGATGCAAATTGTTTCCGGCTGTTCTGTATGTGACGCAGACAGTCTCAACAACACTAGCCGCCATCGCGGAGCTGAAAATGTTCCCTAGCATCTCCCTGTAGACCAACCCCACAAAGCCTTATATAATGTACCCTTCATATTCCCGTTGCATACCCCCTGCAAGATCCCTACATAACAGCCTACGGGAAGGACTTTCAGAACCCAAACAAACAGAACATCTCAGTAGCCTGGGCAAGAGCCAGCAATATCAAAAGCCTGGCCCAGATTCGCGGATTTGGGCTTGAGGTCAGCTAGGGTGTACTTAGGGTCCGGGTTCGGTTTGATTAAGGGCTCTGAGGTCTGGGGTTAAAGGTTTGGCACGGGGCTGGAGGTTTGGGAGGTTCAGGTTTGGGGTTTGGGGGGTGCTCAACACAAGGAAGGCAAAGTATAGTATAGTGCGGTCTTCTTCGTTAATGTGTCTGGCTGTTGCAAAACCCCATGCGAATACGAATGCGATGGTCAGCTTTAATCTGCTTTAGCAGTTGGATGTGGCTTCGGGGTTTAGACCTTGCGCTCGCTTGCTTGCGTGGTGTATCTAGAGCTTTCCTGCTCCCCCGCAACCTACACCGAACCTATCAGGTGAAGGGGTCCCCTCACAGTTTACATTTTTGCTCACTATATACATATATTATAGTATATTATAGTATACTATAGTACATTATAGTATGTTACAGTATACTATATGGTATTGGTGCATTGTGGGGATTTCAGGGCATCCAACCTCAGCAGGCAGGCCGCGGCCATGGATCACTTCCCACCTGCGTGGCGTCTGAGGATTTCAAGGATCTTCGTTGGGATCTGTGTAGGGGGCTATGGGGTTTCATGTTCATCCCCAGCCCCCCCAAACCCCGACATGCAATCACCAAATAAATCTCCTTCCGCCAATATTTAACACCCCCACCCCGCCTAATATTAAATACTTGTCACTGTGGTATATTACAATATATTGTTGACACTGTAGTACAGTATTGGGATATGATACAGGATGCAATGATTCATATCATGCGCAAGAACAACTACGAAATCATGTTGCTAAGTGAAACGAATGTACATGCGAGCTGCTATGAACACTGAACAGGGCTCACGTTTTTTTAGCTCGGATGTTGATCTAAAGGTGAGAGAAAGGGAAATCAAAGCAGGGGAGGCAATCAAAAGAAGAGGGATGAAGAGGGACAGGGGCTAACAGCACAAATCCACATCGTGCAGCTCCAGATGTTGAAAATGCTGGCGTCGGCATTGTCCTTAAGAACGCAGATCAGCGCAGTAAAGGATAGCCAACAAACCAATGACCAACTGATGAAAATTACCTTTGAGGCGCAAGGGGCTGATACAATGATATCTCAGAAAGCAGTAAAAGCCGCAACAGTCAGCAGAAGTGTTTGGACAGGTAATCACAACTTACACTGTAGCATTAACACCCAAGCATCGCCAGTCGTTGCAGTACGGGAGGCGGCTCTTGAAAATCTCGACCCCCAACCCAACAACGCAGCTAAAGCCACAAAAATGGCCCAGCACCCTAAACCTCAAATGGTGTTTCTCTTGTTGAAGGGTCCTAGGGATATGTATAGGGATCATAGATGTCCTTCCGAATCAAGATGTTACAGGATGAAGATTTCGAGAAACTCTCACACGGTCAGCCCAAAGCCTTAAAAAAGATCAGTACTATTATCATTCTGACTATTATTACAATGAATATTACTATGGTCCTTAGTATTAGTACTACTCTTCTTGTTGCTATTAAAAATTACTATTACTATTGATATATATAAGCTTGGCGCCTCCAAAGGCATCGCGGGGCCGCGGCATCTGCCACCCGCGGGCAAAGCTGGCTAACGCCCAGCTTTGAGCTTTAAGATTTCTTGCGGGCGCTGTGCTTCGCACGCATGAGGTCTGCTACAGATGTCAGGACATGTTAGGGATTTGGAGGTTTGGGGTGGAGGGGCTAGTGAGTGTTGGCATGTATGTGCTTGAATTCCTTCTACTCTCTACTCTTCCAAACTATGTGCATGTAGGAAACCTAAGACTACAAGAATCTTCCATGCGACTCGGAGTCTCCCTACCCAGGAAAATACACTTCGCGTCGCAGAAAAAAGATACACTGTAGATGTGTGGGTAGACCTTAGCTGGACGCCCCACCCAGTAATAGTCACTCTTAGGGAAAATGGTGGTTGTATTAGGGTCCTCTAGTATTATCTAGTATGCCTCTTATACCAATATCATTGTATCAGGGTAATATTGGGGTTATATTGGGATAATGGAAGATAAACTGGAAACTACTATTTAGGGTTCAGGGTTTAGGGTCACATTCTAGACCCTTGCATGGTAGTACATTTCACAGCCTTCTGCTAGGTCTGTAATCTGGCCCCTCACCTGCTATCCATCAACTTACTCTTTGTAATAGAATTCGGCATAGCTTCTGAACTTACCGGTCCTTTAGCAGGGAGTAAGGGAACATACTATCATCCCTATATAACATGTTCCCTTATTCCCTACTAATTAAGAACCAGCAAGTGAAACAACAGTATGTTGAGACTTGACGACCACTGGGTCCTTCAGCAGTGGCTAATGCGAAGCTAACCTAAAAACCAAGCAAGGCACTGGTTCAAAATGCTATCGCAGAAGAGTTTGTATTTAGCGCAAAACAAGGCAAGGAAACATCGAAAAGGAAGGAGAAAGGATCGCTGCCCTAACCCCAAAGTCCATCCTTTCAAACCCTTTCGCCATATCATTGATGGTGTCCGTCGTCTGGTCTACACTGATCGAGGCAGGGGTGCTTCTGCGAACCCCAGCTTTACAGTGGCTGGCGCAACCCCGGGTAGGGAATCTCACTGATGGCGGCACCATCACTTGAGCTGCGACTGTGAATGAGGACCGCTACGCGGCTCACTGAATGCAACATCAGAGCCGAATTCCATAATGTTGCCCTCCCTCATCCAGCTTTTGGCTTTGGCTGGACCTGACAAAGTCAAGCACAGAAGCTCCATGTTTGCACCAGATAGACGAATGCATTGCCTAACTTTCTAATTTATCGCACAGGCAGGAAGGCTGTGGTGTCACAGGAGAGGCATAGAGCTTTCTAAATTTTGGGGCGATTAGGCGCCCCCATTGTCACCCAGAAAGCTAAGCCCTATTCTCAAGACCCCAAAAGGAGAGCCTCACTTCGATCCCATCAGATCCTTAAACTGAAGCAACTGTCACTCTATCATACTCTATCATCCCCCTACAATGATCCCCATAATGGCACCCGACAAGATACTCCAACACTGTAGAAACAAAACTTACCTCAGTATTCTAGTAATACTTCACAATTCAATGAAGCATAAAATTGCGCCCGTTGAGCCTTTGGTTTCGACTTCGGCTTCGCTTTTGCTTTTGCTTCGGCCACAACCTCTTCAGCCGATGCCTTCACAACGAGAATGATAAGCTGACGAAGAAAGGATGCATGCGTTTAGGACTTTCCCTGCAAGCTAAGCCCCAAATTCAACACCCCTAACCCTAAATCCTAGACCCCAAGCCCTAGCTAAATCCCAAATGATCTTGGTATATTGGGGGCGGGGGGGACTTTCATGTTCTGTACTAAACGGTCCCCATTTCACGTGAAGCTACCCTCCAGCGAGGCTGTGCCCGGCCTCGCCCTCGCCCTCGCCCTCGCCTCGCGAAGAGCGATCTCCTTCAAACTTGCAAGGTCGTGGGGGTGATTTTGGGGTTCTATGGGGGTTATATAATGGAGAATCAAATGGACAAGAACATGGAGTATTAAATGACATGGAAAGCCTGGGTCCCTTTAAACGGGTATATGAGGGCTATATAGGGTTATATAAGGGATAATGGAAAAGAAAATGGAAGCTGCTATTTAGGGTTTAGGGTTTAGGCAAAACTAGTAATAACAGTCGCAGCAGTAGAACAGAAAAATGAGGACATAACGCTTGGCAACGCGATTTGCAAGAATGGTTCTATCTGGCATCCGTGTGGTAGCGACTGCAGTGCTGCTGGCATACCCAACTCCTAATATTGAGAAGCATCCAAACTGTGGTCAGGAAGCAACAACAGCAGCTACAGTCATAACAAATATTATAGAAGTAGAGACAGCAAGGAACAGAGCGCCAAGCATGAACGATGGACAATCTGATACTTGCGGCTCAGCTACGCTGAATTTGTCGGCGCTGCTTGGGCCTGACGAAGTCACCTGAGTTTCGGGTCGGCTTTGTCGGTATCAAGTTTGGCTGGTGATAGCACTAGGACCGCGAAGCAGCCTCATTCTGAAGCACCCTTGGCAAACAGCTACAATCATAACCTTCAATCTAAGTATATAATAGTATATTTGCCGTATATGAATATACCATTATCCGCCGACCCCGAAGCGGGGGTAGGCGTCAGTGAAGACCCATTGCCCCTCCTTCACTTGACCTGTATCCTCGCTCCGGCTATGAAAACCAATGTTTCAAGGGCTCCAGTCCGGGCTCCGCCC